TATCTCAGTGTAGTTTGGACAAGACAATTGGCCGGCTGCATTGGATTGGACTGGTGTTCGGTACCACTGTTTCTAGTGCATTTTGGACAAGATAATTGGCCGGCTGCACTGGATTCAGCGATATCGTATCGTTGTTGCCACCTTCACCACAATATGGAAATATTCCTTTCGTTCCAGGATTTTCTTCTCGTAACTTTATTTTAAAACTATACTGAGAGCTACTGCAGCCAACTATAAATGTTCGACTGACGGCGTTAAATCATTATTTCGTTTATCTGTGCTTTGTTACTGCTTTTACTAAATAAATCCGTAAAACCCAACCAGAAATCGGTTTAATCATTTCTACATTGGCGCCCAACTTAGTGGCCGAATTACTACGCGATTTTAAATAGTGCATGCAACCAGTGCGACGAAGTTCTCGACTAGGAGGGATGTCGACAATTACAACAGAACAATTTGAGCGATTGATGCAGGCGGTGACGACAGCAAACATGCGAATTGGGTCGGTTAGCAACTGCACCGCACGCTACAGCGGGGAACGTAATCCGTCGAAAGTGGAAGAATTTATCGCGGCGATTTCAACGTTTAAAGTGGTGGAGAAGATTAGCGATGTGGATGGCATCAATGGTATGCCAATGCTGCTGGAAGGTGATGCTTCTGAATGGTGGCGGGTGTGAAGGCAAATGCAGCAACCTTTTGTGATGTGGTACGAATGCTGCGGGAGGCTTTCTCGCCTCCAAGGCCTGCATGGCGCATTTATGCAGACATCTGCGAGGGAAAGCAGCAAAAACATGAAGCGACTGACAATTTTATTCGCAAGAAGAGAGCACTCTTCGCTCAGCTTGCCAGTCCACCAAAAGAAAGCGAGCAGATCGACATACTGTTTGGCATGCTGTTGTGCGTGACAAAGTGGCGCGTCATAATATTGCCACATTTGATGACCTTCTGCGAGATGCTCGGGAAGCGGAGTATGCGTTAAGCGAGCGTAGCGTAACAGTGAACACGAAAGTGGAGTCGATTAGTGGTCTAGTACGTTGTGCATTCTGTCGCAAAAAGGGCCACTCGGCGGAGTATTGCTACAAGCGCGCAGACAAAATGCTGCTGCGGCTGCTGAGGCTGTTGCTCAAGCAACGCAAGCTAAACCA